GGATGTCTTGGGAGTGAACCAGCAGTAGGCAGTATGTTCTCTTTCTTTGCGTTTCAAAAAAAAAAAAAAAGGTGGCAGAGGAGAAAAAATTTAGAAAATCTCAGTTTAGAAATCAGAGGTCAATGTTTTAGTCCACTCCATACTAATCCAATTTGATACTAGAAGTCTTTATTCTAGTTCATATTGCCATGATGTCATGAAATAAAACAAATACCACCTAACACACTTGGAAATATGAATTCACCATGAAACAAACAGCTCTTGATCAAGGCTACTTGAATTTGTAATGTGAACATGTGCAGAATTAAACTTCCCATTCTTACACGGGACAACTGTGACTTGAGGGTCAGCCCGGTCATTTGAGTGGAGTGGTGTCCCCACGAAGACATTAATGACTGGACTGATGCTCTTCCCACTACCAAGCCATGTAGGAAAACACAGAATGTAAGACCAGAGAGAGAGAGGAAGGAGGCCACAGTTCCTTCCTGAGTCTTCTGGCACAGATGGGCAACTTAGAGCCACGGGGATCACTTCGGGCAGCTGTTTCCTGCAAGAGCAGCTCCGGCCTGCTGTATTGTCTCCGTAGCCTGAAAGCTAAAGAGGTATGTCACAACGTCTGCCATATTCAGGCAGATAGATTTGTCTTCTTACCAAACAGCATCAACTTCATGGAGACACGTTTTCCTATAAGAAGATCGTTTTCTACCTCTCTCTTCTCCTAATGCCAAAGCAGCCCAGTATCATCAGATAATTTTGGATTTTCCAAGACAACTCCCCCCCAACAAATGTCTGCCATGTTTTTCTGTGGCATTGGCAAGTCCTAATTTTTCCTGAGTTTTCGGAGTCCCGTCATGGTGAAAGACCCAAGAATCCCTACATCCATATACATGCCTGTTCCCCTATCTAATAATCTTTGTAGCGAACATGGGGAATGACTGAGGGAGTTCTGATGACGTTTTAGGACATGTGACTGCTGGGGCAACCACCATGGGCCACTCCCAAAAAAGCCCTGAACCCATTTAGAGACAGGAGGGCTGCGAGCTAAGGGTTGGTGAGGGACCCAGCCCCAGCACCCCTCAAGGGCGTCCTTCCTGATCACGCACAGGTGGGCGCAGGTGGGTGCAGGACGGGCCTGGGCCAGCGTGGGCGACACACGGCTACTTCCGGCTGTGCTGCGCATGACGTCAGGGCGAGTCTGGAAGCCGAGGAGGGCGTGCTCGCGAGAGTTGAGGCGGCCGCCTCGAGATTCCGGCGCGTCCCGGGGTCCCGCCTCCCGGGGGCGGGGCGAGGGCGGAGCCGGGGAGCCCGGAGCGGACGGGCGCGCGGCCGGCTGCGGTCGGTGCGGAGGCAGAGCCGGCCGCGGGCGCGATCGGAGGCCGGTGAGTGCGCGCAGGCGGCCGCGCCGGGGGCCCGGGGCTGGCCGCGCACGGCCGGGCGGGGCGCGTCCGTGAGTCCCGGCGTGCGGGGAAGCTCCGGCAGAGACGGCCTCGGCCCTGCCGGTTCTGGGGGAGAACCGGCCCGGAGCGTGAGCAGGGGCGGCCTGGAGCCCGGGAGCAACCTCGGTCCTTCCTGTGCATGGCTCCCCGGTCCTCGTCGGCCCCGAGCCCTCCCTGCCCTGCGGGCTGTTCACAGACGACCACCAGCCGTGCTCCCTCAGCCCCGGGCCGCCGGCGGGTGTGCCTTGTCCCCCCAACCGGTGCGTCAGAGGCCGAGGCTTGCCCACAGACGCGGGGCAGCCGCCGTGGTCCCCCCGCTTCTCCCCGGTTCCCCTCGACAGCCGATGAGCACCGGGCACCTGCCGACGGTGCGGGGGTCCCGGGACCGGGGAAGGTGTCGCCCGATCGACTGGGGGCGACTGCTCATCAACCTTTGAGAAAGTTGGCAGGTTGGTTGCCGGCAAAAGGATTGAACTTTCTTTCCAAACCCAAGGGCCCCGGGTGACGGACTGGGTGGTGAGGTGGGCTGGGGGGGTCTTGGGTAGAATCTGAGGAGAAGTGGGAGGTGGCGGCGGGGCTGGGTCCAGGTGGACTGGTCAAGGGCAGGCTCGGCGCTCCCGCCTCCTGCACCTGACCCGGACTGAGTTAGTTCCCCAAGGAATTCTTTGGAAATGGCTTGAGTGTGAGCTTTAGGGCTGCTGAAATCTGAGAGAACAACTTTCAGAGGCTCCCCTTTATGCCTCTTGGTTGTCGAGTGGAGATGAATGAATAAACACTTGTTTTTATTTTGGCCTCGGGAGACTTTAATTTTGCAAGATAGAGCCTGTGTTCTTAAGCACAGTTCTCTTGACTGTATGCGCTTTGTAAAAATCTCGATCCTATATGTTAAAGAGTCTGATTCCCTTTCTCTCTGTGCTGTGTGGTACCTAAAACAGGAGCGGAGAGGTGGAACGGGCGAATTGGACGCTCCATGGGACTATTTGCACAAAGAGAAGTTGGTTGAATCATGATAGTTTGTGAAGATTGATCAAAGTACTTGCATCTGAGAAATCCTGACCTCAGAAGCCAAATGTTGTAATGTGACCTCTCTCTGCTTTGTTTTCTTCTGCTTGCTGAAGTGGCTTGGCAGCGATTTCCATTAGGTTGGATTGTGTTTAGAATGACAAGCCAAGTTGATTGTAGTTTTTGTGCTCACTAGAAGACTCGGGCCACTGGGGAATGAAAGAAAAAGGGCTTAGAAAAACCGCATTGAATGGATGCGGGTCTCCGGACTTTGGCTTGGGGAATTTCACATCCAGAGACTTCCCCATTATTTCAAGCCATCTGTCATGCTGAAAATTTGATTTCCGAAGCAGGGACGCCACGGTCAAGGAAAAATTAGACTTTCTAGAAAATGATCATGAAACAATAGACTCAGTTCAAAGATTTACTTTACAAAAAAGTTGGTTCACAAAGTGAGGGCTTAGTGAGGTGGAGTGATTCGGGGAGCTTTGCCAGTGATCTGGGATTAGTTGGAAGCTCCTGGGGGTGAGGCCAAGGGCAGGGCACAAGCAAAGCCAGAAAGATATTACATCTTGTTGTAATGTTGAAATGATTTTATTTTTCATAAATACTCTTCAAAAAGTTCTTGAAAAAGTTGATGAAAACACCACGCGTGGATTCCCCCAGACTTCTCAGCAGAATTTCCTTTCATTCTTAGTTCCTAAGACTTTTGAAATACTCGCGTGGTACAGGTCCAGCAAGTGTGTGGTCCTTAAGCGAACCGTGAATCTCATTTAAATCAGCAGGTGCGTGGGTAGTGATTAGGTTAGACCTGATGTGTGTAGAATTATGGGGCTGTACTTTGAAAAAGCACCGCGAGCTTTTTGAATGAGATCATGGTAGCATGCTGCGAAGGCATAAGAATTTGAAAAAAAATTTTTTTAAATGTCTTCAGTCAGTAGTTAAAAGTACTAAGTGAATCCCCTCTTTCTCTACTTCCCAGCATCTTTGTTCAAACCTAAAAGAGAGTGTTTGGCAAGGGCTGAGAGGCACCAGATGTAGTGGTGCCAGAGCCTTGCATCTCCAGGGAAGGCACACTTTTTGGCAGGGTGATGCAGTTCAGAAACCTTGGAGGCCAGGCAGTGGTAGGCAGCCATGAAGGATGTGGGTGCCTGGGTACCTGCAGATGGGCTGTGTCCTCTGACCTCCAGGAGACAGAGTCTAATTGCAGGGGAATGTGCCCACCCTAATAACTGTAATACAGCATGTATTTTGTGAGGAAGTCAAGAAGAGTGGACTAAATCCTACTGGACCAATTAAGGAAGACTGAGTGGGCAATGGGGCCTTTGTAAAGATGGCTTGTGAGATCTAGTCCTATGAGCGCAGAGAGCAAACACTTCTTGTGCTGCCTTTTGTCACCAGCCCTTTTCCTTGTTTGTCTGAATGAATGCTTACCACCACTGTGTGGAGTTGGTGTCTAGTCTTGCTTTGCAGATGACGTAGATCCAGCTGAGATGGCTGGGCAGCGGTGAGACCAGGACTCCCTCCCTTCTGTTCAGCATGTACATCCAGTGCTGAGGTTACCTACCATCCTTATTTCCTGTTCCATTCATGATGTCTTTCTCTTGTCTATAGCAGCAGAGAATTGATTTAGGAATACATGTTCATCCAGCATGTAAATTTTGGGATCCATTTGCTGGAAATGGCTCCAAAAATAGTGAAAGTTAAGGTCAATAATTTTTTTTTAAAAGATTTATTTATTTCTCATTTGAAAAGCAGAGTTACAGAGAGAGGAGAGAGAGAGAGATCTTCCATCTGCTGGTTCACTCCCCAGATGGCTGTAACATTCAGAGCTGGGGTGGTCCAAAACTGGGAGCTGGAAGCTTCCTCCAGGTCTCCTACATGGGTGCAGGGGTTCAAGGACTTGAGCCATCTGCTGCTGCTTTCCCAGAGTATTGGGGAGAGCTGGATTGGAAACAGCAGCCAGAATTGAAACTGGCACTCATATGAGATGCTAGCGCCACAGAAGTTAGTGTGTTATGCCATGGTTCTGGCTCCAATACATTATTTTTGATATGTTTCACGTTTTGATAGATTTTTAAGGAATTGTTCTATGCAAATTCACAGAACCATTGATGAGATATCTGATCTTTTTGATTTGCCACCTGTCAGTCCATGAAGATACACAAGTGAAGCATCATGGATGTATAAATTCCTTTCGTAACAATGTTTGAGTCATTGTATGTGTGTATATCTACATGCATATTAAATATTTATCTGTTATTTGAAAGGCAGATTTTACTGTAAGAGGAGGGACAGAGAGAGAGAGATCCCTTATCTGCTAGTTCTCTCCCAAATGGCCAAGCTAAAACCACGAGCCAGCACCTTCTTCTGGGTTTCTCATGTAAATCCAGGACCCCAAGGACTTGAGCCATTGCTTTCCCAGACCATAAACAGGGAGTTGGATCCGAAGTGGAGCAGCTGGGACATGAGCAGATGCCCATATGGGATGCCAGCACTGTGGGCAACCATCATACTGGTCCTGAGTCATAGTATATTTTTTCTTTTTTTTTTCAGCCACCTGGTACTGTTTTTTTTTTTTTTTCATTCTTAAGTTGGAATTCAGTTTGAATGCCAACCCCAGCCCTTTTAGTTTTTATTTCTGCAAACTGCTGAAAGGGGGTTTTGAACAGAGTGTAGTGCAGGTATAAAATGAGAGAAAAATTCCTTCACTTTTGTTGGAACAGCTGTGAAAATCCTTGGATTATGAAGTAGAGAAAGTGCTGCACAATTCTAGTGTGTCTGATATGGCCTCATAAATAAATAAATGCTTGTTGCAAGAATGGTCCAACTGATTTTATTTGTGTAATTTCAGGGTTTGTATTTGTTATTGAGAATTGGAATCGCAGCCAAGTGTGTTAGGCTGTGGAAGTGCTTGGCTGTACCTTCAGTTCCTTTGGCCATGGTGGAGTGGATGCTCCACCAGGTTCGAGTCGAGCTCCGGGTGCTTGGTCTCTGTAAATGAACACAGTGAGTCTTCTCTCCTTGATTCAGTGGGGGTGAGTTCATTTATGATGGATGAGCTTAAAACCTAGCAGGAAAAGTAGAACAACATCATGATTTGAAGCCCATATGTTTACATGATTAAACTAAGACAAAGATAGTCAAACAAAGGTGTTTTTCTCTCCCAGTGCTTTAGGGTAATAGCAGTGTGTAGTATCCCCATTTACCGTCCCTTGGTCGGCACATTCTTCGGTATCCTTAGTCTTGCTCTCATACTTCACATATTTTGCTGCTAAAAAAAAGCACAAGTTCCTCTAAGTACAGATTTGGCTTTGAGAAGTTGTTTTTAGTAAAAAGAAGTGTGAGTTGGTCCACTGAGAGAAGCCTCTCATTGTTTGCAGCTAGAACTTGGGGGGACCCTTCTGACAGATGGCGGGTGGCCTCCCTGGTAGGTATTTGCTGCTCAGTTGTTGAGGACAGTCTGAGCAATTGCTGGTCCTGTAATGGCGATCTGAGCCTTCACGGTGAGGTGTGAATTTCAAGCACCCCTTCAGCCCTCCCTGTACAATGTTTGTTTGTTCTTCACGTTGTTGAAGAAGTCCCCTGCCTTCGTCTGAATGGGCACTAGCTAGACCAGTCTGACCGTAGATGCGGAAGGCTTCATGTTTCCTTTGTCCTTTGCTGCTGTTCCTGAGTGCAGCAAGTCTCTGATCACATGTGCCCAGGCAGCAGCTGCTGTGTGTCTGCTTCACTGATTTGCCATCTCGCTGTCCTCTTTCGGAGGGGGTTGTGCTCACCCTGGCTCCCAATTCGGGAAGCGCCTTGACTGCCGTGTCTCTTCTGCATAGGCTCGAGCCACTCATCTTTGCCACCTCAAGTCAGCTGCTAATCCAGCACTGATGTCCGGGTCAAGAACAAGGTGGCAGGCGCTCCAACGACTGGCTGCGATTGCTGGCTCCTGCTGATGTGTGAGTGGCCATGCCTTTGCAACGGAGCCCCGCTTCTGCTGTCTTTAGGAAAGTGTGGGAAAGCTGAGAGGTTGGCCAGCACTTCCGGATGACATTCATACAGTGTTTCAGAGTGCTGGCTTCTCCCATGCTGTTCCCCTGACACGATTTGGAGGTTTTTGACTCCAGTTTCCTAGACTCCTCAGAATTCCAGAGGAAACAGGCATTTTTGACACTAAGTATGAAAAATACTTTGTTTCTCTAGGTAGCTTAATCTTTTGGTAATATGTAGATTTAGCTCTCTGCATGTCATTTTCCCCTTTTCCATATTCTTGGCTCCTTTGTTCTTTCAGAACGTTACCCATTAGGGTACAAGCTAATAGTTTTATCAGCAACAGTAACCATTTCCTCATCACTTTCTGTGTACCAGACATAGTAACCAAGTCCTTTATCTGTGTATTATCTCATTTTACCCCACAGCCACCCTGTTAGTCATCTCTGTTTACACCCAAGGAACCTGGGACCTAGAGAGGTGTGGAGATATGGCCAGAGTCAGATGGTAGATTGTTAGTGGCGAAGAGGAATCCTTAAGGACAGCTTTGTGGATTGGAGAGTTGAGCCACTGTGCTTGGGTCAGGCTACTCCTCTTCTGATCCAGCTTCTTGCTGATTGGCTGCGAAGGCAGCAGTTGGTAGTGCAAGTACCTGAACCTTGGCCATTCTTTCTGGGACATCTGCATGAAGTTTCTGGCTCCTGGCTTCAGCCTGGCCCAACTAGCTGTCGTTTGGAAAATGAAACAGTGGATAAAAGACCTCTTTGTCTCTCCTCTCTTCACTCTGCCTTTCAGGAATAAATAGTTTTTGTTTTTTTTTTTTTAAAGATGTATTTATTTTTATTGGAAAGGCAGAGAGGAAGGAGAGACAGGAAGACCTTCAGTCGGATGGTTCACTCCCCAAATGACCACAACAGCTGGAGCTGAGCCAATACGAAGGCAGGAGCCAGGAACCTCCTCCAGGTCTCCCACAAGTGGGTACAGGGTCCCAAGGCTTTGGGCTGTCATCAACTGCTTTCCCAGACCACAAACAGGGAGCTGGGATGGGAAGGTAGGCCGCTGGGATTAGAACCAGCGCCAGTATGGGGTCCCGGGCATGCAAGGTGAGGAGTTTAACCACTCTGCTATCGTGCTGGGCCCAATAAAATCTTTTAAAAAATGTGATCTCTTAAGATGCAAGCTTTCCTTCTCTGGAGTTACTTCATTTTACTGTGAAAAGTCAGCTTTGTTCTTTATTTACCTCCCTCTTCTGGCCCTGTTTTTCTTTTTCCCTGTATTAAGTTATTTTTTCCTTTAGGCAGTATCTACAGTTTTGCATGTCAAAATACACTTTTTCTAGGGTAAAGGATAGACAGTACAACTAAGATATATATTCACATTTCCTGTATGGAGGGATGTGCTCTTAGCTTATTTCAAGAACACTACAACTTACACCTCTGATGTATGGTGTTCTGAGGCCCTGTTACATGTTTTCTTACTTCACCCTGCTAGCAGTTGTGTGATGCAGGCAGTGAGGGTGTGCCTGTTACACCCAGTTACAAGTACAGGGAAAGGAACTCAGATTAAGTCACTTGTCTGAGGTCTCAAGCGGAAAGACTGAGCCTGAATTTAAACTCAGGTCCCTCACTCTAGTACAAGCACTGTTTAACCCAGCAGTCATCGTGGTAGATTACATGCTATGTGAGTAGAGTCTTTACCAAGGGCTCACAAATTAGCTGATGAGACATGGCTCGTGCCTTTAGTGATGTTGATGTGGAAACAAATGATATAATCAAATGTTATGGCTTCATTTCAAGTCAAGTAGGAGCAGATAAATATCATTATAGAGTAATCTTTTTCAAAATGGCATTAGTGTTTTGAGCTTTGAGCTTTGTTTTGTTTCGAAGATTGAGAAACTGGAATTTTCACCGTATTCATCATGAGATGCTTAGATCCTTAAGTTGCTGGCGACCTCATCTTGTGCTCAGTGGCTTGCATTTTGACTGAAACAGTTAGGATGAAGCTGGGGAGCTGAGAGAGGACAGGCATAAGGAAAACCGAAGAGCTGGGGATTCCAACCAGGACTTGATGAACTGTCTTCTAACAGCACAGTTGGAGGGACTTGGATGCGAACTTCAAAGAATGGACAAGCTACAAGCACTCACCTCTGGGGAGCTGTGTGATCTGAGAGGTGAGAGAGCTGATTTTAATGGAAATGCTCTCTTGTACCAGGACTGTCCTTCGTTTGGTTCTCACTGGCTATGAACATTGTTCCTGCACTTGGTGTTGGCCTGCTGTGGAAGCACTATGCAATGCCTGCCCTTCACTTTTCTTTCTTTTTTAAAAAACTTTATTGTTTTTTGATACAATTTAGTTGGCAATGGGCTCTCCTCTCCTCCTGCCCCAAATACCCTCCCCTCCCCTCTGTTCTCCCCTCCAGGTTCATAATGTGTGTCCATCGTGAATTTTCCCAAGTCCATCATGCTTCCTCTGGAGTGTCTCCCAGTCCTGTAGGAGAATAGCTTTTCTTTGTAGGTTCATCCCTGTATCCTGGGGCCCTAATGTAGTTATGGTGAGGATTAGGCATTCATTGTTTATGGGCAGTAGCAATAACAGTGAGAAAGGGGACATTGGCCATCTCAGGTGATTGTAAACAATCAGACTCTTACAGATGGTTGATCTAATGTAACAGGTTCTTGTTACATTAGATACAGGTAAGTATGAAGTAACAGTAAGATTCACATATGAGGGCCTGGCAGCGTGGCCTAGAGGCTAAAGTCCTCGCCTTGAAAGTGCCAGGATCCCATATGGGTGCCGGTTCTAATCCTGGCAGCTCCACTTCCCATCCAGCTCTCTGCTTTTGGCCTGGGAAAGCAGTCGAGGACGGCCCAAAGTTTTGGGACCCTGCACTCGCGTGGGGGAGACCTGGAAGAAGTTCCTGGCTCCTGGCTTCGGATGGGCATAGCATCGGCCGTTGCACTCATTTGGGGAGTGAATCATTGGACGAAAGATCTTCCTCTCTGTCTCTCCTCCTCTCTGTATATCTGACTTTCCAATAAATAAATAAATCTTTAAAAAAAAAGTTTTTTTTTTTAAAAAAAGATTCACATATAATATCTCTAGATTGGAAATCATATTATATTACAGCAAATATGATATCTGATCTTTTGGGAATTGGCTCATTTTCCTTAGCATAATGGTCTCCAGTTTGGCCCATTTGGCCACAAAGTAGTGTATTTCATTTTTTACTAACTGAGTAGTATTCCATAGTGTAGATGAACCATAGTTTCTTTATCCAGTCCTCTGTTGATGGGCATTTAGGTTGCTTCTGTGTTCTTGTGATTGTTGATTGTGCTGGAGTAAACATTGGGGTGCATAAAAATATGGTACGCTTCGTGAATTTGCATGTCATCCTTGTGCAGGGGCCATGCTGATCTTGTCTGTATCGTTTCAGTTTGTAGTGTATACGCTGCCGAAGCGAGCACCACTTTTCGTCAGCACAAGCTGATTGCCTGGTTTGTAGCACTGGAGAGTTGCCCCTGTGTTTTTTATAACAGGTCCATTCCACTGGGATACTTCTTTCAAATCCTGTTGAGGATATTCTCCATGTCAGCTGTTATCTAGGAGATAACAAGAACAGAACTTTTTTTTTTTTTTCTGTTTTTTGTGGCTTAAGGTGGAAAACTTGTAGTACCAACTTGCATGTATCTGACCCAGTGTTATTCATCTTCAAACTGGCAAGTCCTGAAGGAATCACCGGCTCATGATGTTTCGGTGAGGTTAATCATCATGGTGCAGTCTTTCTCACCTGTTTGCAAAGCTCTGCGTTGGAGACCGAGCAAAACAGAGATGAGTTAGAGGTGTTGCCCATCCACTGTCAAAGGTTCAGTCCAGTGAGAGGCCTGGCGTGTGCGTACAAACAGCTGTGATTCAGACAGACGGTGATAAACATGGGACAGGGACAGGGCACTGTGGGAGCAGAGCGAGAAGACGCTGCTCCTGGGTGGGCGGGAAGGGAAGTCTCCTGTACACAGAGGAGTCTGAAAGGACCGAGTCAGGACAGAGCAGAGTAACGGGTGTTACTCTGCAGCATCTGATAAGTCATGGACCAGGTATTTGCTAACTTGTTTATTTATTTATTTGGAAGTCACAGTTATGGGGTGGGGGAAAAGAGATAGATGTCCCATTTGTTAGTTCATTCGCCAGATGGCTGCAATGGCCAGCACTGGGCCAGGTTGAAGCCAGCAGCCAGTAGCCTCTTCTGAGTTTTTCCCGTGGATGGCAGGGTTCCAAATCCGTGGGCTGTCTTGTCCTGCTTTTCCCAGGTGTGTTATTAGCAGGCAGGGGAATCGGAAGTGGAGTGATTGGAACACAAACTGGCACCCCTTTGGGATGCCATCTTAACAGGCGGCGACTTGTTTGCACCACAGTGTCTTACTTCTCTCTGCCCTGTTGGGTTTGAGCCCACTGACCTTGCAGGATAGCTGTTTTTGCAGCACTTCCTCTTTACATCATCAGTCTGGTGGAACCCGGTGCGATTTGAGGTTCTGAATTGCCTGTAAGGTGCAGCATCAGGAGATGCTGAGGTGGAAAGACCCAGCGTTCCCTCAGGAAAGGGGCTCGTGATGTGGTGCTGTGCTCTCTGGGGTTGCCATTGGGCACAGCTGCCAGGGAGGAGCAGTGAGCCCCGGGGTAAGGAAGCAGGGAAAGTGCTGTCCAAGCAGGAGGCCGGGTTTGAACTTAGACTCCAAGGGCAAGACTGAGCGTGCCAGGCATGCTGCCACAGGGTGCTGTGGGAGGGTTAGGGAACTCCAAGTTAAGGTGTAGTGGTGGGACAAGCCTGGGAAGGATCAGGGATCTTTGTGTTGGCCATGTTGTTTTGCTGTTAGTCTTTCCTGCTCTTGCACCTCGCCTAAGGAAGTGGTTCTCTCACCTCTGGCTACCTCTTCTGCTTTTCACCTCCTGACCTGCCCGCCACAAGTTGTTTTTTTCTTCCATTCTGTGAGATGAAACGGAAAAAGGCTGATATCATCAACTGGGGAGATAAAGAAAAAGATAAATCCACTGAATGCCTTTTCTCTGATGACTTCTGAGAGCCACAGGGTTGGTTGCATAAAGAATGCCAAATCAAAGCAAAGCTTTCAGGGCCTTTAGCATAAAGGAGGGAATTATAGAAGAGAGGTGATTACTTGCCGTTCCCATGGGGTTTTATGGGACCCTTGAAAATTTGCTAGGAGTTTAAAAAAAATTCCCCAGGGCATTAATACCTAGTGTTCCTTAGCCTGGATATTTTTCAGTTTTCAATTTTCTTTCTCCTCTCATCCTTATTATACTTTAAATATATCACATTTTAAAGCAGTACAATTGAATACCAGACTTTTTAAAAGATTTATCTATTTACTTGACAGGCTGTTAGGGAAAGGGAGAGAAAGAAAGAGGAGCAGAGAGAATGCTTCCATCTGCTCGTTCACTTCCCGAATGGCAATGATGGCCAGGCTGCAGCCAGGAGCTTCACTGGGCCTCCTGAGTGGGTGTCAGGGGCACAAGCGTTTGGGCTATCTTCGCTGCTTTTCCGGATGTATTTGGATTGGAAGTGGAGCAGTCCAGTTGGGATGCTGGTGTTGGAAGAGGTAGCTTAACCTTCTGCATACAATGCTGGACCCTGGAGAGACTTTATATTATTATTATGATTGATGGGGCCTACCTCTGCCAGTCGTGATTCTGAACTTTGTGTCATCTGCATGAAATGCCCTGCAGATTGCTGTTCACATTGGTTTACTGTGCACAGCGGCTGTTATCACACTTTCTGTTCTGTGAGTGTGCTACTGAAATAGAACCAAGTTGTTTTCTAAGCAAGTTCATGGTTGCCTCCGGTGAGACTTCTGCCCCTGGTATTTCTAGGGCTGCTTAAAGCTGTGTAACTTGAGTGCTGTTACTGGTGACAATAAAAGTTTATAGGCATTACCAGGAGGAAAGCAGGAGACAAGAACATGAGAAAGGCAACCTTCAGAATGGTGGGAGGGGAGTAGGGGAATGGGAGGATGAGAAAAAATGCATCTGATTAAAAGAGACCAAGTACCTGCAACACCTGTTCAGGTGCTCTAACTGCCAGCAAGCCTATCTAGAAATATACTGGTGTGTTGCAAGGCCAGGGAAGGTTTTTTTTTTTTTTTTTTTTTTTTTTTAAAGATTTATTTTTTATTGGAAAGGCGGATATACAGAGAGGAGAGACAGAGAGGAAGATCTTCTGTCCGATGATTCACTCCCCAAGTGAGCGCAACGGCCGATACTATGCCGATCTGAAGCCAGGAGCCTCTTCCGGGTCTCTCACGCGGGTGCAGGGTCCCAAAGCTTTGGGCTGTCCTCGACTGCTTTACCCGGGCCACAGGCAGGGAGCTGGAAGGGAAGCGGGGCTGCCGGGATAGAACCGGCACCCATATGGAATCCCGGGCGTGCAAGGCGAGGACCTTATCTACTTGCGCCACCGTGCCGGGCCTGGGAAGTTTGTTTTAATAAAATATTTCTGAAATTATTATTTTAAATGTGTGTATGTTGTTTTATCTCTCTGTTTTTAAAATTGAACAGAGAAACCAAAACTATGATAAATAATAGTGAAGCTTAGAGGCACGTTTCTGAAATGTAGTAAGAGCTTTAAGACCTAAATCTGTAGATGATGTCCAGTCAGACAGGAGGTGACAGACAGTGAAAGGGTTAGTGGGAACATGTGTCTGAGTTTTACCAGTAATAAAGCTTCATTCCTGTGTTTTCTCCCCCAAATTATTAATTGGAAGGGCAAAATTAAAGGGAAAGAGTGAGAGAGGGGAGAGATCATTCTTCTCTTCGCTTCCTCTCTCCTCATATGGTCGAGGCTGGGCAAGAGCTGAAGCCAGGAGCTCCCTCCAGACCTCCATGTGGGTAGCAGGGGCCCAGGCAGTTGGCTTATCCTTCACTGCTTGTTAGGCATGGTAGCAGGGAGCTGGATCAGAAATGGAGCAGCTGGGACTTGAAGCACATTACAAATAGGGGTTTGACTGCACCAAAATGCCAACTCCCCATCATGTTCTTCAGCACTGGCTCAAGTCCTGACTGCTTCACTTACACTCCAGCTTGCTGTAATGTGCCTGTGAAAGCAGCAGTTGGTCCACATGGTTGGGCCTCTTCTACCTGTAGAGCAGATCTTGGGGGAGTTCCAGGTTCTTGGCAACCCCTGGCCTAGCCACGGTCATTACAGCCATTTGGGGAGTGGACCAGCAGATGGAAAATCTCTTCTGTGTATTCCTTTTTCTTTGTAACTCTCCTTTTCAAATAAATAAATATGTTTTATAAAAAGAGGAAGAAAAGAATGTATCTGAGTCCTCAGAAGCGAGATTGGGGTGAGACATTAGATCTGGAATACGTACTTTTTGTCGAGTAAACCATGGACTCACCCATGCCCTCTGAAGAAAACAGTGTGGTCAAACAACCAAAGAACTTTTTTTTTCCCAGTATGTTTGTCATTATTGGACTTAACAAAGTCAAAGAATAAAAATGTCAGTGATTTCACCCTTCTGCCTTGGAGGGAAGAACCGTTTCTTAGGTTCAGAGAAGCGTCTTACTGACTTAAAGCCTCTGGTGCATTTTCAGAGTTGAAGATGCTTTGGAGGGTATGTAGTCCGGTTCTGTGCTGTGAATTCTGTCTTCATTATTCACCACAATTGCATGTCTGCTGTTTGGCTAAATATTTAAGTTCCATGCCTCTCAGCAGATTGCACCATTGGTACTTCAATTCCCTTAAATGGTTGGCGTTCTCCAGGATCGTGTCCTGTTTCCTTTTCTCATCCCACACTCCCGGGAGGTGGGAATCCCATGTACTCTGCTGTCTTCATTGACTCCTGTGCGACCAGACCTGTTCCTGGTGCCCAGACTGCCGTCCTGATGCGAGACTGTTGTCCTTCCATGTCCTGGATATCATCACACTTTCTAAGTTCCACGGATGACGGAGCTGCCTTGATCTCACTTTCCAGAGCCTGTCTCGTGCTGCTCACCTCTCCAAGTGCTGAGGATTAGACTCTGGTGGGTTGCCTAAGCTGCAAGCCTGGCTTTCCTTCAGAGTCTTGTACCTATCCTAAAACACAGTGGTGAGAACAGGTGAGAACTGATGTGTGCCAGAACTGCCTGAGCATCTGCTGGTTCCAGCACGGAACAGTATCCTTGTAAAGTTCTTCCTTGGGTTCTCATGGCCCCTGTCACAGGATAGAAGTAATATCTTGATGTCTCTGGAGTGGTTTTTGAAGGTGAATATCTTTTTTAAAGATTTATTTGTTAATTGGCAAGGCACTTATAGAAAGAGGAAGGGAGGGGAGAGAGAGATATCTTCCACCTCCTCATTCACTCCCCAAATGGGTGCAACAGATAAGGTTGGGCCCAGCTGAAGCCAAGAGCCTGAAATTCATCCTGGTCTCCCAGGTATCAGAGACCCAAGAGCTAGGGCTTTCTTTTGAGTAGC